GAGATGGGAGGAGGGTTCATTTGGAGGCGGTGGAGCAGGACTGGAATGTGTGAAAGGAGGGGAGTCGGCGTGAGGGAGGTCGATGCGAACATGGGAACGTGGGGACGAGGGAAGAGGAAGGGAGAGGGGGCAGCGCCAACTGCATCGCGTATTCTCGATCATCAGTGCTCGGAAGTGCCGACGTGTGTTCTTGTATGCGACGGCAGAGTGCGATATCGAGTGCATTGAGTTGCTTGGGTAGGCGCTATTCTGCGCTATTGTCGGCGGCGCAGTTTTGCATTGTGTTTAATGGTGTGGTGTCGTGATTCCTGGATCGGGATTCTGTAAGCATTGCTCGCTTTGGTGTTGACACCAGAACTCAGTTTTTATGCTGGGCCATCGCCATAGTTTGTCTTGCACAGTGCACTCTTCGCCTGCACCCCATTTACTGTGCAGTATGACGATCTCTATGACAGTGGAATTCACCCCTCAAATAACACGATGAAGTCCAAATTTTGAACTCATAGTCCTGATCAAGAACACCACTGTGTCACCAGGGGCTCTTGTGTCCGGACGCGTCTATTTGTTGTTGCTGCATCTCTACATCATTAAGTGAGGGTGTGCTGTTGCCAATGCCATTGTTGAGCAAAGACATGCACATATCGTAGCGTACGATGCTTCATGTCTGGATACGTCAATGCACGCAGACTTATATCTTTAGATGTAACGAACATTTGCAATGAGGATTGTGTGAGGAATCTTATTGCCATTTTTTAAGAACGTGTAGCATCGAAGTAATGATTAACTTTATTAAAATATTGTTTTAAGGAACGTTGTCAATTTTGGTAATTGATATCTTTAGCGGATTCCAGAAAAGAAATGTGCACAACAGCTATTGTATATGTACACATTTGCATTAGAGCTCCTAGCTTATATTAGGGAGTATCATAATTACTCAAGTCATTGAGTTGTAAGTGAAACTTAAAACATGAATTTTACTACTTAAATATGTTACTTCAAACAAAATTTGCTGTGCATTCCAACCCTCCATCATAAACTACCCAAGTAATGTTTTGTTTGAATTTTGTTTTGGATAGAGCAACACAAAATGTCTAATTAGAAAGATTTTATTTGTTGAACATGAAACTCTGAAATATAAAGCCAAAGTCCTCAAAGATTTGTTAATTTCCATCAATCTTTAGAAACAAGCCATCAATTGCATAGAAAATGATGTCTCTTTTTGTAGATGTCATCTGATCTCCAATACTACTTGTAGCAAGTTTATGTAGAATTAGAAAATTGTACCTCTAATCGTGTGGTTTCTAGTAAACTTCTAATTATAATATATTTTTTCTTCATTGCCAGTGGGAGGGACATTTATAAGTTGGTGTACAAAAGGATATATATTTTTTGGATGTTTTCACAAATTTCATGTCAAAGATGATGATCTTAATAAAGAAAAAATTATTGATAGAATATATGGTTGAGTTTTGAAAATAATGTCACAAACTTTAATGTCATTTAAGTAAGAGAAGTTTATATTTATTTAGGAGGTAAGTTTTTATTCAATGGTAGGCAAAATTGTTTTTCTAAAACTATTGAACACTCATTAAAGATCTTCTATAGCTCAAATCTACTTGTTGCCTTAAAAATAAAAATAAAAAACATATATATATATATATATATATATATACACATAATTAATATGTGGTTTTTTAGTTACAATAGTACCATTGTGTAATTTTTAGATGTTTAGAGGTTAAAATTTGTTAAAAGACAATTTGTTTTTGTCTTCTTCACAAAACTACATTAGTTTTTTAATTGGCAGTTTTTTTGTATGATATTCATTATGCATTTCAATTTTTTATTATGACTAAAATTTGTCTCTAAAGTTTTAAAATTAAATAATATATCATATAAAAAGATTTTGCATAGTTAGTTAACTTATTTTGTATAAAATATTATGGAATTTATTACCAACAATAAACACCAGTATTAAAAAAATTAAATTTTTAGTTCTTTACTATTGCATTTTTCATCTTTTTACAACTTAAATTATGCGTTTAAGTGTAAACATGTAATTTATTGTAAATATTGCTTTGTTTAGAGTCCATTTCTAACTCCAATATTTAATACATTGATTATTTTTAAATATTATATACAGATATATATAACATCTTATAATATATTATAAAAGCTACTAAAATCTGAACTGTAAAATATAGAAACTAATTTGAAAATGTTAGAAAGAATATTAGAAATACTTCCATTATTTGGTAAAAATATATAAAACATATTAATTTTTATATTTATAATATATACATCTAATGAAAAGAAATAGATGGGAAGCAATATGAAGCATTTTTACTACAAATGTTGATTATTACTATATCTAATAAATTCAAAAAATTAAAAAAGCATTAAAAAAAATAAGACATAGAATATGTTTTTTTGTTCAAAGTAGAAATAAGTAATAATAAAAGGACTCTGAACTTAAGAAAAAAAATTAAAAAAAGAAAAAAATAGAGAGTTATTTAAGTATTAGCTAATAATTGAAATTTTCACGTAGATAAAGTATAAAAGTAAAAGAGAAGAAATAAGTCTATGAAACTTAAAATAGAGAATTAAAAAGAATACTTTTGTATATGTGTGTAGATTATGGAGAAATATAAGGCTACTGGAAGGATGTATAGTAAGTCGAAAAACAACTTCTACATTAATTTTTATAGCACTAAGCAACATGTACAAAGTTGAACTTTAATTTTTAGTTATATGTTTGAATGTTGTAAATACTTTGATAAAGTAATATTAAATTTTGGACATTACCAATGCAACCTTAGTTTGTACTGCTGCCACAACAAAGTACTAGCAATCATATGCTAGCCCAACTTAAGCAATTGGAAAAGGTGATTTATTTCTCGATTGCATCTACAGTTTGTACATAGCTAATGAAAGCATCATGGCTTACAAAAGTGCTAGCAGTGTCAAGCTCTATTAAATAGAAACTTAGCATGAAATATTGTGAAGAGAGCAATGAATGTGTTGTGTACCAGAGGAATGTATGAGAGGAGCGTTTTTGAAAGTGTACAAGATTATGATGGATTATACATTGAGTGAGTGGTGGATTGTGGTATCAATAGCAAAAAATTGTGGTGGCAATAGCAATATCCTAATTGTTTAAAATTAATTTAGCCATCTTTCTTTTGTTTTTATATTAGATTATTTATAATGTAACTTTTATAATGTTAAGCCTTTGGAATTAATTTAGCAAGAAAAAAAATTGAAATTATTGATCAAACTTTTATAATGTTAAAACATCTAAAATTAATTCTTGCACATCTTATAGGCATGCCGAGCAACAATGAGATATTCTTTATTTAAAAGAGAATAAGATAATAGTTCATATTGCTTTTAAAATATTATAGCATTTGCAAGAAACTTTTGCATGTTTTGTTAGAATATAGAGTTGTCTATTCTTGCATAATTAAAGTTTAGAAGAAAAGAAAAGAAAAGAAAAGAAAATCATGATTAGAGATTTTATTGTCACTTCTTCAACCACAACATTTAAATATATATATATATATATATATATTAGTAAATGTTATGGTTTCAAATAAATAAATTCTTAGATGAATGTATATATAAAAATACTACTACCTTTCATATATATATATATATATATATATATATTAGGTAATTGATATATAATATATATTCTTAGAAATAATCCAATTTTTAAAATATTTAACCAAAAGTATACTAAGCAAAACAATCTATTCTCGCTAATCCAACCATTGTGCTACTTTGACACATTAGAGTCCTAGCATAGTGTAGAAGCATATATAGAAGTAAGAAGACAATGAATTGTAATTACATGTTCTATCTCTCTAAACCTTAAATTGTTTTATGTATGCCAATGCTGCATAAAAGAAAACATTGTAGAAATTATTCGGTGAAGGACATTGCCACCTAATTCCAAGGAGGGAGCTTACTACCCCTTTTTCAACCCCCATGTCAACCTTACTGCAAAGATTTAACAACATTCTAAATGTCAACCTTACTGCAAAGATTGAACAACATTCTAAATGTCAACCTTATTGCAAAGATTGAACAACATTCTAAATGTCAACCTTATTGCAAAGATTGAACAACATTCTAAATGTCAACCTTATTGCAAAGATTGAACAACATTCTAAATGTCAACCTTATTGCAAAGATTGAACAACATTCTAAATGTCAACCTTATTGCAAAGATTGAACAACATTCTAAATGTCAACCTTATTGCAAAGATTGAACAACATTCTAAATGTCAACCTTACTGCAAAGATTGAACAACATTCTAAATGTCAACCTTATTGCAAAGATTGAACAACATTCTAAATGTCAACCTTATTGCAAAGATTGAACAACATTCTAAATGTCAACCTTATTGCAAAGATTGAACAACATTCTAAATGTCAACCTTATTGCAAAGATTGAACAACATTCTAAATGTCAACCTTACTGCAAAGATTGAACAACATTCTAAAACTAAGTCTCTTCAAGTCTACAATTAGATTGTAAATAGTCAACATATACAAATCTTCAACAATCATGTGTAATAAATATGCTCATTTGAATATAAATAAAATATTTACACTATCATTCATTTTTTAAAAATAAATTATGTTAACTATGTTTTAGTAAAAAACCTCAAAATATCTCAAAATATATTAATGGAATAACAAAAGAAGAACATGATTCTCTTATATAATTTATTTTATTTTTTCTAATTAATTTAGAATACACCATTAAAGTAAAAAAGTACTATTTTCATTATATTAGAGAAAAGAAGTTCAGGTGTCATTTTCACATCAAAAAACATGTTACAAATCATGTATAAATGGAAGGTTGTTTAGAATTTATGAATAGAGGTTTTAGTGGTATGTAGAAACACACTCACGAATAATTAAATCTGAATGCTCAATCCGCTAGACAAATTAAAGAAAACAAAGGACACGGCATGTGATGCACATAGCGAAGGTGGGGATCCAGAATGGCAAAAAGAATGCAAGGAATTATGGAAAGCATTCAAACGTTGTGCAGTGGAGATCATGGAAATGAAGGATTTATGCAAGACGACGAAGACGAAGAAGAAGAAAACGGAGTAGGCAGACTCACCAGCTGGGCTGAGCTTCTCGGTTTCGGTCTCGCGGTGTTTTCCGAAGCCATTGCTCCCCAATTGCAGTGTTTCTGCGATCGTACTCTAGGGTTCGCAGTCGGGCAAGGGGGATCGCGCGAAGCGTGGATCAAGGCCGTGGCGATGGCGATGTCGCTGGTGCGGAAGGCAGTGAAGAAGGGATGGGTAGGCGCCTTGGCGCCCGCAGCTCGTGTGATGAGCCAGGCACTGAGCACGGCTTCGGAGCCAATCACGCTTGACATCCCCGTGCCATTCAAGGCACACAAGGTGGAAACCCCGTCCGTCACCGTGGAGACGTCGGCGCAGGAGCTCACGAATTTCTTCAAGACGATGTTCATCATGCGTCGCATGGAGATTGCGGCTGATAGTTTGTATAAGTCTAAGTTTATTCGGGGTTTTTGTCATCTGTACGATGGGCAGGAGGCGGTCTGTGTGGGAATGGAAGCCGCTTTGAATGACAAGGATTGCATAATCACCGCTTACCGGGACCATTGTACGCATTTAGGCCGCGGGGGCTCCGTGTTGGAAGTCTTTGCGGAGCTTATGGGGAGGAAGGATGGGTGCTCCTTGGGCAAGGGCGGGTCTATGCACATGTATAACAAGAAGGGCGGGTTTTATGGTGGGAATGGAATTGTTGGTGCTCAGACGCCGCTTGGTGCGGGCTTGGCTTTTGCGCAGAAGTATTTGAAAGTGGAAGGAGTGACGCTAGCAATGTATGGAGATGGCGCTGCCAATCAGGGGCAGTTATTCGAGGCGATGAACATCTCAGCACTTTGGAATCTGCCGGTTATCTATGTCTGCGAGAACAACCATTGTGAGTTGTCGTTGTTGTGTAGCCCTAATTTTGATGCGTGAAAGTTAATTGATCCCTGTCTGCTGAATTGTCTTGCAATTGCAATGAATCCGTTCCTTCTATGATTTGGGGTACTTCTTCCCAATTCTCTTCCTCATTCTGAATGCTTTTGGCCCCGAGGAGATGGATCGATCGGCTTGGTGCGGATGTAGAAATTACAGTACTAATGGCAGGAGTAAGAATTGTGAGTGGGGCTCAGTGTGTGCTATTATAGACTAATTTTCTCAAGTTTCTGCCTTTATGTGCTCTCTGGTGCTGACAATCGAAATTAAGTTGAATTCATCAATGCAGCACTTCGTTTGACACTTTTTGTCACTGACTGTATGCAATTTTGTCACAGATAAAATTGCTTCATCAACATAAATGCGCTCTTTTATGATTTTAGTTTCTGTTCCACCTCGCTTTGTTAACATCTGTGGTACTGAAGTTTTATCTTCTCATCAATCCCATTTATCTGTGACAGATGGTATGGGTACTGCAGAGTGGCGGTCAGCCAAAAGTCCCGAGTATTACAAACGTGGGGACTACATTCCTGGGCTGAAGGTTTATTATTCGCTCTAATTATCTTAATCATAAATAAATAAATAACTTAACCACGTATTCATTATTATTTGTTTACTATTTTTTTTTATCCTTAAATAGGCACGTTCTAAGTCTGCTATACTTAATAATAGATCGTCCTTCTCTAGCATGAGTAGTCAGCCGTAAGTAGATGTTAGTTTACTGATAACATACCTTCCCACCATATGTCTCATATTTGCGCATCAACGGTGATTTCTCTTGCTATGGGGCAGGTCGATGGCATGGACTGCTTAGCTGTGAAGCAGGCGGTCAAGTATGCTAAGGAGTATGCTTTGCAGAATGGTCCCATGGTGTGTTTACACGACGCTCAACTTCTAAGAGAACACATCTGAAAGAGCCCGTTCAATTTGCTTCCTTAGGATTGTTTCCGTATTTACTCACGTTGTAATTTTGTTGTTGTGAGCAATCTACTTTGTTTTCCTTTTTTGTTCTGAACTTATTTCTGGATGAAGGTCTTGGAGATGGACACATATAGGTATCATGGACATTCCATGTCCGACCCAGGCAGCACTTACCGAACTCGTGACGAGATCTCTGGTGTTCGTCAAGTAAGTTTCAGTTGAACTTGCTCTTTTCGAAGTTAGCACAAATTACATGGAAAGATGACCAATTTACAAGGATTTGGTACTGCGGTTATTGCTCAAGTATGCTGTTGGTGACCAGACTATGTTTTCAGTCTAACATCTTTCTACTCGTGTCAACAGGAGCGAGATCCCATAGAAAGAATTAGGAAACTCTTATTGTCTAACAATATTGCTACAGTTGCGGAGCTGAAGGTAAGGATTATCGCTTTCCATGATCCTTCTTCGAAATTTAGCGATTTTGGTTCTTTGTGCTTTTGTATTTTTTGAGAAACTGTGCAACAAAGAATATGTGGCATGCGCAGACAATGGAGAAAGAGGCTAAAAAAGAAGTAGAAGATGCACTATCCAAGGCCAAGGTATGGAACTTCGTAAAAGTTGTTGTGAATCTACTTCATTCATGGTTATTGGCACCGTCAGTACTAGGACTGTCTTCTACACCCATCCTGTTTTGGTTACTGCTACGTACTTTCCTTGAAGGTTAAGCGATGTCTAAATTTTCAATATTGTTGGATGTGTTGCTGCAGGAGAGTCCCTCTCCCGATTCAGACGAGCTTTTCACTCACGTCTATCGGAAGGGTTATGGAGCTAAGGTGATCATCTCTCCTTGAATGGACTGGAATGGGATTATTTAAAGCATATGTGGATTTTGCACTAATCCAGTTTTGGTGATGACTGGAGCACTAATTTCTTTATCTTATTATTAATTTATAAATGTATAGGAGGTGTTCCTTTAAACGAAATTGGTCCTCTCACAATAGCGGCTTTATATTTTTTGAACGAAATATTTCAATATTGTAAACTAGAGACGGGTACTTGATGCCGTATTTGTTCAACTTAAACACTTGCTGACCTATCTGCTGGAAGAGCAGCTAATTCCTGTAGTTTTACGTGTTCAGGCGTATGGAGCTGATCGCAAGGAGGTGGTTGTCAAGTTGCCTTGAAGAAGCTCACATTCTTGGCCGACAATTTCATTCAATGGCTGCTTACCTTATATCAACAGCACATCATGTTTATGATATCAAATAAGCTTTATCATGTTGGTAGATTATAGGTCATATATGGATTGTATTGACCTCAATTTTCGTAGAAGCTCAGTGGGTTAACATGGTGATGTCGAAACTGTCGGGCGATTATTCTCCCTTTTAGAGAATAATTGTGATGTCCTTCCGCCCTTATTTAAATAGGATACAGTAACTTCTACTGCTGTCTTGCATGTTATGTTACAAATCATAGGCTTTTATGGTTGTTTTCTCATAATTTTAGTAAGAACTGAAATAATGTTAAGAAGTCACAATTCTTTGAAAATTCAGGGTTGACTGTCTTTTTCTTCTAGCTTGCGGCACAATATTTCCTTCTGAAGTGCCTCGGTGCAAGTTTTGGGCTAGCATGTTGAGTTTGTCAATTAGCCTAGTTTTCGTAATTGCAATGTCGTGCACACGGCTGACGTGACTAACTACGAACCGCCGATGTTGCAAGTAATCGCTGTCTTTTAGGTGCATTCAGCCTCATTCAGCCTCAGAGTTGGGTCTGTCGTTGTTTAATTTGTGGACTCTATTACAGCACAATCAATTCCAATCTTAAAAATGTAATCGGCCCTATGTAGTTGCAAAGAAAGCAGTATGTAAGGAGCTCGTCCGCGTTCTTACAGGGGAAAGGTCCAATTGAGCAGTTCTTGCACACCCACTCTATGGAGTAGCATATTTGGTGCTGTCGTGAGTATACCTTCTGCCTTTGGGCTTTGGGCATCATTTACTCAAGATACAAGTTCAAGCTCTGATTGATACCTTTCAATAGCATTTTTCTTCAAAGTAGAAATGGGGACAATGGATTGCCGCACCGTTAGCTTGGAAGTGGAGCCCTTTTCTAATCAATTGTGTCCACTGATATATACAAAACTTTGTTAAGTTACAGGGTTAAATACAACTTTCTATTCTTTAGAATAAGAAAAAGAGAATGCATTGTACCAAGAATTAGAGGGTTTATATACAAAATGCAACATTGATGTGTACGAAGATGGACTTTGACATTAGTTATTAAAAACACCATGATGGTTAATGTCTGTTTGTAAAATTAACCTATTTGTAAGTTTTCCACAAATGTTATGCATCATGTTCAATTTTCAATACAATACGATAAATGTAATGCTGCAAAAATATTAAAATCAGAATTCATTTAATGTGTGTGTAAAAAATGTATAATAGATTAAATATATTTTTTTAATATATTTTTTCAAAGAGTCTTTTTATAAAATAGTTTTAAAATTTTAATTGATCTTTATTTATATAGGAAAAAAGTAAAACATTAGGAGTATTGATAAATAATTTTTTTTAGTTTATAAAATTTATTTCTTTAAAAGATAGGTATTGTTAAATTTTTAAGTTATATATTTTTACTATATATATATATATATATATATATATATATATATTAATGCTATTAGATACTATAATTTTTTTGTATACATGTGAATATATATATATATGTAATACTATGATGTATCATTTAAAATATGATTTGAATAAATACAAATTTAAGGTAAGAAAAAAAGACATAAGTTGTTTGAGATAGTAGGTATTAAGAAAAATTAAAAAATTAAAAATTATTTTTATATTAAATAATATAAATAATATTTAGCATATTTAATTTGAATATAAAAAATTAAATATGTTAAAAATAATTTTAAAATATTATTTTTTTAAAAAATTAAATATTTAAAAAATATTATTTTATTATTTCAATATCAAAAAATTGTGATATTTTTATGTATTTCTTGCTTTTTATTAAATATGATGAAAATATTTATGATATCTTTTTAATAAAAAAAAATAAGCACTTTACTACTTTCTAAAATTTTTAATAAATTTATAGCCTATATTTTCTAATTATAATTCCATCACACAAAATATATTTAATTTAGCATATACTATTTCATATGTAAATTAATAATAATACTTGTATATAGACTAATAGACATATATTCTATATCATCTTAAATGAATAAAATGTTTTAAAAGAAAATTTAAAATATCATGCTATAATAATAATTAATAACTGTTTTCATTCTAAAATATATCAATATCCTCATTTTGATTATTCTATAATATCAAAAGTGAAAGTCTCTTACAACCTTTATAGACAACAATATCTAAAATTATCTTGACAAAGTTTTAATAGTATATATTTATTTTTTTCTTAATTGCATTTTTTAGTTATCAATATTAAATTGTTTCTTTGCTATAACTAACATATCAATGAAATGAAATGTGAATATAATTTAATCATAAAATATTCCATAATTAAATTATTTAAAATATTTATTTATTATTATTATATATACATATATTAAATAATTTAATTATATATTTAAAATAAAATCTACTCTAAATATATTAGTAATTTTAAAAAAAATACTTTTATCAATATCTAAGAATTTATTTAAATCCAAATAGTGACTTTTTTAATGCATTTAAAAGATTCTACTTTATAAGTCTTTGATAACATTTGGCTTGATTTATGAAAACTTCTTCCACTATTGTTTTTGTTATTGAATGGAAATAATAAAATATAACTATTTTATTTTTAAATCATGTTTTGTAATTATTACCAAAAATGTATTATTGAAAATAATCCATATATATTTATTATTATTATTATTATTATTATTATTATTATTATTATTATTATTATTATTATTATTATTATAAGTTTTATTTTTATTTTATTTTCTATTATTTTAAGATTTTAAATATTTTTTTGTATTATATTTATCTAATGAATATTTGGCTAATTATAACTATTATGTAAATATATATATATATATATATATATATATGTATATTCAATTTTTAAAGCAAGAGATACATTTATCTACAAATTTGAATAAAAATAATTTCAAATATGTTTTTAATGTTAATAAACTTAAAGATTTATTTATAGTGCCTTGCAAATATACAATGTTTACAAAGTTCTACATCATGAGAATTTATTCTCTTCATACGTTGATAGTTTTGTAGTTATTGATGTATCTTTTATTTATGTGAACCAATTATATATACCACACTTAAGTCATATTTACTAAGTTTCTTTCTTAAATAGATAAAAATAATTTATGATTATTATATTATCTCCCATATGCTCATTTATGTTTTAAATCTTCTTATTGTTCTATAATCCTACAACATTCTTTTAAAAATTAATAGATTTTTGTTTATTTTTTCTATCTATAATCAATTAAGTTGAGCATTCAAAAAATTTAAGTTTTTAAGATATTTAGATACAAATTAAACATTAGTTATTATTCTTATAGTTTCATAACATATTTTGAAATTAACTCTGTTATATCTTAAAGTCTTGAATAGCATAATATTTTCAATCAACATATTTTTGATATCTTTCAAAAAAATGAAATCAAATCTTTAAAAGATATTATGAATTTTGAGCAATAAAAATACAATACCTATGCATCTAAAATCTTATCACATATAAAAGATTAAATATTTTTTAATAATAATTCTATCTAAATTAACTAAATTAGTCTAACTAAATAATAATTTTTTATTTTTTTTAGTTTCTTGCATTTTTTAAATTTTTTTATCATAAATTAAAATTTAAAATATTTAGAATTTAAGCTTTGATTTGTTAATTTACACTCTAGATTTTAATCTAGATTTCTTTTATTATATTCTATGTCTATAGTTATACACATTACAGATAGTATTGTAAAGTGTAATGCTTTATTATTTGATTTCTTTCTTAACTTGTAAGATAAAAAAGAAACAATAACACTATATGGTTTTTTTGTATTATTTTGGTATTATACAGTAGTAACTCAATGTATAAATAATTGAAGCAATAAATTTAATTGCAACAAAATTTTATTATTATTTTTTCATCTTATGTCAATACTTTTGAATTTATACAAGACCTTTTTGAACATATTTAAGTAATACATTACACTATTATTGTCTATTATATACTATATATACAAATATTTTTGTATATAATTATTTTACCAATAATTTTAATAGATGCAAACTTTTTAGTTATTTAACATATTTCGTGCTAAACTTTGGTTTTAAATATTAGATAAACCCTCACTTATAATATTTAATTAGATTAAGCTTATTTCTTTTAAAATATTCTATATTTTTGCTTCATGAAATTTGTTTGTTGGTTTCTTTTTAACAATATGAAAAATTCTTCTTGCAAAAGTATATATTTTATCTCTACTTGAGATCTTAGACAGTGCTAATCTACCTTTTTTTTTTTTTTTTTTTTTTTTTTTACTTACACAAAATTAAAGATTTTGGTAGTATTATGATTAATTTAATATAATTCTATTAATAAATAAGCCTACAGTTTTTGTCTATAGATTTTTTTTTGAATAGGTCTTTATATTTTATGCTTTAATATTCATTAACAGAATTTAACACCTCAATTATATCTACACTATTTTTTATTGCAGACATGTTAAATTGATTGTTTTGCAATGTTTTTCTTAGAAAATGACGTAGAGGTTTAGTTATTTGTATTTGAAAGATGTTTTAAGGCTAATACAATAAAATATTTGAAAAAAAATACTTAGTAATCTTAAGATTAAATCTAGCATCAAATAATATTATATAGAATTTTTTATCATGTAGCTTATGTTGACCAAAGTATATATATATATATACTAAAAAAGTGTAGATTGTTGCACTGTTACAGGATAAGTATTGGTTATGTTTAATTTATCAGCCAGAATACGATTAAAATTAGGATCTTCATGCATCTATTTTTCAATACAAACTAAATATTTTATAAAAAATTATATGATCTACAAAACACATTATGTGACTTAAAGTAGATGACTTATATACAAAATGTTCATAGCTTGAGCACACATTTTTAGGCAATAATATACATTTTTTGCAAAAAGTAGTTGTTTTTAGGACCATCTATCTTTTCTTATTGCTTCTGTAAATGCCTTCAAAGAAATTAAGTTGGTTTTTAATTTTTAGAAAAAAATAATTTATAAAAAGAGGCTTGTAAAACTTCTTGTTTATTTATTTATTTATTTATTATTATTATTATTATTTTTTCGAATTAATTATATATTAACATTCAATAAGTATTGATAAGAATGTGTATTCAATAAAATTATTATCTTCAATAGTAAGTAATATCAAAAGTCATGTATGTAACTACAACAATCAGGTGTCTTCTAACATGTGATTATTGGTCATGCAAGCAACATGGATCATATTTCAAATGCAAAAAATTAAATTAAATTAAATTAACATTTAGAGGACTCAAAGCACTTCTATTCTTTTACTTATTTTCTTGAGTACAAA